TTTTTCTCCCTTTTTCATTCCCATCGTTAACACCGCAGCGCCGGTTCCCGCTTTATGCTTTTAACCTCGACAATTGCCGCCCTTCAACGTTACGTGCGTCCCATGAATTGCGTTGTTGCTCCCTATCACTCTCTCTCCCCGTTCCTCCGCTTTCTTTCCTAAGCTTCTATTAACAGCGTCAAGCTACACCGCATTCTTCGTTCACCCACAGAGAAATAGGATATAAAAGTCCCTAAGACTCGACCTTATCAATTGATCACGGATCAATGATCTCTGTAGAATAGAGCAACCGTTCGATAATTCCTCGCTTTTCAGTCTCTAAAAGGAGATGAGTTGATTGGCTATCCAGACGAATCATACGGCGACGAATTATCGAGCGGCCACTGTACCGATGCAGATTTTCGCATGGGCCAACTACAGAATGCTACGTTTAAAAGCCTTCCGCTTATTCATATGGGAACGTTCACCATTTACGACCGCGTGAGCGTCCAAGGTGGAGGTAGATGTTCCAGGAATTGACCGGTGTTATCTGATCCGTGCTCGTTCGCCTTCGAGCGCGTCGTCGACGAGAGCGAAACCGGTGCAGGAGACCGACAGAGACACTCGTATGTACGGAATTACATACTGTTCTGTAATTTAAGTTAAGATTACTCGAATATAATCGAGTTCGGTATCGTTTTACATAACAATCCCGACGATTCGATTCGTGTAACCTAATAACGATCCAAGGAAAAGCGTATGAATTTAGGATATCCGGCCAATTATCGAACGGCTGCTCGCTATAGTAGAACGACAAATATACGAGCCCAATAATTATTTCAGTTCATTACCGTGTAAAAATTAATGTTCCAGTTGGTTAAATCTATCCATATCGGAAAAGCTGCGATTTAAAAAAAAAAAATTAACGTTTAACCCTTTGACTGCTGAGTACCATACGAAATAACAATTAAGTCAATAAAACTTTTTTTTTTGTTTTTATTTCATGAGAAGAGTCTTAATTTAGTTTTTCATTTATTTTAACCCTTTGACTGCTGAGTACCATGATTTTTTCCCCTCCTTTCTTCATTATTTTATGACATCATTATAATCTGGTAATATACATTGATAATTTCGATTATGAGTAAGATATACAAGAAAGAAAATATGCCCACCGACAACTTTCACCTGACGCATACGTGAGTCCATAGCAGTCAAAGGGTTAAAGAAAGATGCCTCCATAAAATATCTGTCTGGAAACTCGTTCTTCAACGATCGATCGAAAGTTTTCTTGTAACGGCCGCGAAATCGCGTAGGTTATAGCGTATGTTTGGCCTAGAAGAGTAGGCCGACGACAGAGTGGAAATATGTAGCACGATTAGAAGGACACATTTTCCATGACGTCGCGTGCGAGCGGTCGGACGATCCGTGAAACGATTTACGACTTTGCGAACCGTGCACCGTTATAAATCCTTTCAACGAACGAAAATTCGTCCGCGTACCGTTTGGCGGAATTGTAAATTAACGACACTTGATATAAATGTGGATTTTATTGGCAAACGACCAGAGAAACAAGAAACCGATATAAATAGGATTTTCTTCGCTCGGATATATACATACACGCCGAGTTACCGAGTTTTGTAACTCTATACAGTGAATTTTCGGTCCGGTTTTATTTTCGTTGGATCTTTATTTTCGTTTTCACCAGTTAGACCGTGACAAAAACGTGGAAACGCGGCAAAGCTTCGAGGAAAACTAGAACTTAACCGCCCGCGTATATTATCCGGGATAATTTCGACATCGTTACGTCATGCAGTCCATAATACCGGTTTCTCTTTATTCCTACCTCACTCGACGTAATACGTATCCACGCTGGCTAACTCCACCATTCCGACACTATACATCTCTATAATTTATCGCTTCGTACGATGAAGAAAGTTTCGAGTATAGTTGGTAATAACACGTCAGGTAATTATGAAAATGGTACGCAGGAGAAAAATTATGTCGCTCAATATTCGTCGATTGAAGTTGTCAACTCCGAAATAGTACAAGTTTACTTGGTGACAATATTGTTCAGTGATTAGAAAAGTGGTGTAACGAAAATTGAATTTTCTCCATATCCATATAGGTACAGTAGCTCGGAAAAGTATTCGGACACTCTTTAAAACAGAATACCTCATTTAAAATTGGACCAAATAATTTGAGGTTTTTTGAGAAGTTATACAAATTAATTTACTAAAATATGTGCTTTTGTTGTTTTGAAAAATTACAGTTTGTTGAAATCGTGAATATAAATAGTGAAGGGTAATTTTATTTTGTGCTGAAAATTTCATCGAGACCGGTCAATGCACTTAGAAGTTACAAATAATTAAAATTTCCAAAAATCGCGACTTTTCATTTAACAGGAACTAGTCATGTATCTCTAATTTTTTAATGACCACAAAAATAGAAGATTGGAATTCTCCAAAAATATCCATTGTATAAGTGTTCAAATATCTCATCCTCTATTCTTTTAGATTGAAATCTATTGAATCTATTTCAAACTGAAATTCCTCCGAGAATTTATAGAATGATTCAGTAACGATAATTCATTTCAAGTTTTTATAAATAAAACATAATTCCTTACTATAGCAGGACATTAGTTCGAACCTTTTTTCATCAGAAACTAAGCTATTATTAGAGTCACGGTAATCGACATGCTGATGTCATAGGATAATTACCACTAATCACAGAACAACTGTTCACACAGTGTTTGTTAATGTAACGTCATGTCCGAATGAATAACAGAAATTGCTTAATCTTCGAACGCTGAAGTTCAACCTTCGCTCATCCTGTAATTTCTGTTTTTGTTTAGAACGAGCCGGATCCTCTAGTTTTATTAAAAATATTAAGTCTACCTTGCTGCATACTTTTAACATAATTTTATGAAACAAGAATTTTAATGGAATATTTATTTTTATGAAAATAAGAAGAAGCCAGGCCCACCTGGACCTCCTACAAAGCTACTCCAATCTTTCTAACGTGTACTAATGAAAGAACGGTTTACATTTTACTGTCCATTCATATTTTTCTTTGTAACCTATTTTTTGAAGTGCACGAAACCCACGCATAGGTGTGACTTCCTGTAGACGTTGTAAACAAGTGGAAACAAGGACATGGCGTTTAAGAAGGGTTCGTGGTAGTATAGTGTAAAGGTTCAATAGGATAACAGAAACCGAGGTCAGAATGTTAGTGAGACACGCCCACGAAGGTACTGTAATTTGATGCGTTACCTTCCATACTGATACCTGAGAGATGCGCTGGTATTTACAATAGAATTCCTTTGACTTCTTTCACACCTTTCTAATTGATAGATATGGGTGTCCTAACTCAGTCTAACTTAAGTTCAAAATGATAAAGATAGAAGGAAATGAATTTCATTAGGGAGAATTAAATGCCCTCATATGGAGTCTCATGTGACGAGTGTGAAAATTATTATACTTCAACTCTCGAATAATTCAAATAAAATAGAACAGTCATAAAATTGTCTAAAAATGAACCATTTGTAGCTCTTAAAAAAATATCTTAACCCTAGGACGGCGGACCATGGAGAGAGCCCAAATTCTAATTTAATCCTATATTTCATATTCTAATCTATTCTTTTAATATAAGAAATTTTTCATTTAGAAATGACATATTTTACTTTGAGTCACCGCTGTTCAAAAGTTAAATACCTCATAATGTTCAAAGGTACCATAATCGCGGTGATTATAACGATAACAGTTTACAATCTTGGAATTATCAACGGAACTTTATTACACGTGTATATTGCTTGATTGGTAGTCCATGCTTATCGTATAACCGACAAATTTTCTTGAAAATTTGTATCGATGGCTAATGAAAAATAAACGCGGATAAGATAAAGAAAAATGTAATTCGATCTTTGATGAAAAGACAGTGGTCGAGGCATGTATTACAGGTAGATGTTTTAAAGATAATTAGTTTTGCGAATGTACTTCTCACGCATCATATTATCTCGTTTTAGAAACGTGCCCGGTACAGGTGATGCATCTATATCAGTAACCACGAGCCCTAGGGGCAAACCGGGTTTCCCGAGCCGTCTGCGGTGTATTTTTGCTCGCGGAAGGAAAACTCCTAGGGAATTATATCGTCGAGTACTTTGTCGTAAATCACGGGCAAGCTTAGTCATTAAAATAGATTTCCAGCGTGAAATCAGCGAGCGAGACAAAAATTCATGAGAGATAGAAGAAGAAAAATGAAACTTCCGAATGATACCGAACACCCGTTCAAATGTATCCGAATAAAAAATTAGCCGCGCCACGGATCGTTGCTCCGAAACGTTCGAACGGACGTGAAGTTAACGTCACGTGGTTGATGCGATACGATCACGTGATTTTAATTCGTACATTTTAAGGATGACACAGATGTCGATAAAAGTCGAAAGTGAAACGGTCGACGGTAAAAGGATGAATTTATAACGATTATTGTTTGGCCCGGGATTTTTTTTACGTTTCGATGGTAACGAAGAAAACAACGATATCGAGGAGAATTTCAGATGACAGATGTACCGCCGTGTCGAAAGTTACGATTATGTATCGACTGCGTTCGATAACGTAAAGTATGCAATGCGAGGCAACGATTAATCGAATGTCGAAGTTCATCGAGTATTCGCGTAAAAAACGTGACAATTTCGATGAGTCGACGACACACGATAACGTGAAACCAGACCCGGATGAGAAATTAAATAAAATGATTCCTTCGAATAATCAGCATCGCTGGTGATTAATGAAAACAATGAAACGGAACGGCGTCGTTTTTTGCAACGGCGTAAAAACGCAATTATGGAAACGATGACGTCACCGGGATGACGACGTGAACCGTAATACATGTCGATGCATACAGCACAGCGCCCACGCGCGGGCAATGGCGTGTACGACTTATTACTTTATAGCTATGCGCGAACCTATATAGATGTAAGCTTACACGTTCGTATATATCGTAAAATAGAGAGAGGTCTGTACTACCTTGCGCCGGAACACGCGGAGGTATCAGCCGCGATCTCGCCGTGATGTCGGTCACCGTGACAGGTTAGGCGGTCGGTGAGCCTTCCTTCGTTGCTTCTTCAAAACTTGAAACTTCTCTCACTGTTGTAACGAATAACACACCAAGCAAATATAATATATATATCTTATTTGTCAGCACTTATTCCGTCGATGACACGATTTGCTCTTTTAACGTGTGACATACGAGCTCGAATATTGAAACGGTGCACTTGCTCTCTTTCTCACTGAGCAACGAGAAATGGCAGAAATTCTTGTACTCTCACTGTACTGTTCCGGTCAATCAGCGGGATCGCGACACAAAACCACGGTAAAACTTGTTTTCACTTTTAACAACGTTGGCCCGGATGCATGCTGAGCTGCTCAACACCGTTCAAACTCATAATCAGCTTACTCGATTCACAAGGTCCCTGGTTATACTCGTATATTCGCTCGCGTATTATTTATCCTTTCTACAAAGCCGCTGCTATATGAACCACGCGCGACTGGACGACTATTGCGAGGGCAATAACGACGACGTACTGCGTGTGCGACGATGACGGCGGCAGTAGGCAGCAGCGGCGACGGCGGCGGTGGCGGCGGCAATGGCGACGGTGAACGACGATAGACGACGTCGGAGGGACCGGCTGATGGAACGGGGCAAATATATGCAGCTGACGGAAGCCTCGATGCGATTTTGTAAGAGGGTGAAAAGATAAGGCGAGCAATGCTGGTTAGGCGACGGGATTGCGACTGCTTGCTGCTTGCTTGGCTAGCCGCAAACGGGGGCCTGGCGCGACACCGACTGTCCGACGGCAGCGCCCCCTCACCCCTCTCCTTCCACCCCCCACCTCGTTCATCCCACCACTCATCTATTCCCTGCCCGCCTTCCACCTTTCTTACTCTTTGCCCTACCGCACGCACACAACCTATTTCTTCTCCTTCTCTCTACTTTTCTCTTTCCCGCTCCTGAACATCTCCTTGCTCCATTTCATTCGTTCTTTAGTATTCGCTTTCATCTATCTCGCTTAGTCACACCTACGATCCTACGTTTCACGCATTCTACACTCTCCCTCTTTCTCTCTTTCTCTCTCTCTACCCTCCCTCCTCGTGCTCGTCATTTATCTCTTTTCTTTCTTCATTCAACGCCCAATGCCTCTTTCCTTCTCTTTCTATCATCTATCGCGCAACTATGCATCCTCTAATTCGAACTTCCCTCTTTCTCTCCCCATTTCTCCTTCTCAACCCTCTCTCTCTTACTCCTGTTCCCTTGGCTTTATCATTCTCTCTTTATCTTCGTTGAATCTGCCGACTGTCTCCCTTAATCGTACGTACGAACTTTCGATACACACACCATCGCATTCTCTCCGTCTGTCCTCGTTCGATCATCATTTATCTTCCTTTTTCCTCCTTTCCCCGACTACGTGGAGCCAGGAACCCTTCCCCCGCATAATATGAGTCGCCCGTCTCGCCCCTCGTTGCAGCCATGCGGCCGTATACCATGCCACGTCGCCGTCACCGCCGCCGACGATGAGGCACCAACCGCCCCTCTCCATGGCTCAATAAGCGTTGTTCGGACGCATGCGCCGCTTCGATCCCCCTCCATTTCTCGATCCTCCTCGTTTCGTCTCTTTCTCTCCTACCAGCTGGCGACCCAGCCTGCTTACCTTGCTGGAGAACCGGCAACGGAGTTAGGTTAGGTTTGGTCGCGCATCGCCCGCTGACTATCACGCTTGCCGCGGCTTGGAAAGGGTTAGTCAATTTCTCTTTCTCACTTTTTCTTTCCTCTTACCTTCTCGTTCCTGCCTACAGGGAACAGAACTTCCAACGCGTGTACTGTACATCGGCGTAATCTTGTTTCTCCATGCGTTCAGGCGCGCAAGACAGCAGTGGAAGAAAAAGATCGGGATGGAAGGAAGGAGTAAGGAGCTTAGCCTGATTCGAGTAAAATTCTTTGCGTTCGATGCCGATAGCCTTTGCGCTACAATGCATAACGTAGAATGATACCGACGTCCACAATAGCGATACATCTATTTAATATCCTTGACCAGGCTCGTTTCAATCTTTCGTCTACCGATCGATTTCTACCGTCACCTTGATGAAACTCACTTTCACGGTTTACCGTTAACGGTTAAAACATAATCGGTGAATCGTTGAAAACAGGGTGAAAGAACTTCTGGCTCATACTGTACACCTGCTTAATCTCATTCCCTCCGGTGTATAGGATGGAAGGGGGCAAAGTGACAGTGCGCGAGGGAGGCAACGAATGAGATCCGTAGAAAATTCTTTATAGTGACGCCGATGGTCGCTGTGTGCTACGGTTCGCAGCGGGAAAAGATCCCGGTGTCTGATACAGAGGGACCGTGCATATCGTTTGCACGAATATTTCTACGGTACATTGTACATACGTGCATTCTGTATGTACATACTTATCACGACTCGTTGTCACGATTCTCTCTTCGACTCCCTTTTGTATTTTCGAGTTACTGACTTTACATTTCCTTTCAAATAAATCATCTTACGATATTTACCGTAACCGCGGCCGCACGTTTCGTGAAGGGTATAACTATAGCAATTTTAAATTTATTTAATAAATTATGGAATAATAGTTATAGAGGAAAAGTCTTTTAGTATTGAAAATGTCGATTAACTCCTCCGCGTGTTACGGATATCTTCGGTTTGAAACTCTTTCTTCAGAGATCCTCGATACTAACAGCGGAACCGGAAGTACACCCTTCTCGTCTCACTGGGTCTGATAAGCGGAACAACTGCTACCTATACACACAAACGTACTTTATTTTCCGTTTCCGAAATCGTTTGAACGCGTTGCATCGATAGAAAAACATTTTAACAATTTTTCAATTAATTTTCTAAATTCATTAGTATCGTTAATTGATAAATTACCGTGCAAATTTTCTCTGTTGTTACATGTTAAATTATCTAACGTAGCATTGAGAAACGAAGTACTCGTTTCCAATAGTATATCGTGGCAATTCGAACGTGTGTTCGTATACATAAATGAAAGAAGAAAATAGAGAAACAGAGGCCGCTAAGGTGTGATACGAAACGTCGAGGGATACAGGCTCATATTTCTCGTGAAACTGAACCGAATAAATTTTTAACAAAAATTGCTGACTCGCTACATTACGCTGCCGTTCTCTTTACAGCTACTCTGCTGCTATCTTTTCTTCTTAGTACCCATTCCTCTCCTTTCAAGTGTTATCGTGCTGCCAAATATACGAGAGAATAGTCGGGAGAAATTTATTTGCATCCCCGATTCTGTAGATAGAGAAATTTCAAGAACCTTTTTACAATTTATCGAAGAAAATTAACGAAGTAAAGTCGTTAATTTAATCATGGGTTTCCTTCGTAGCAATGGTATCATTGTAACCGCAGACCGCGTAAACGGAAGTGAAATACACTTACAGATATATTTTAATCTCATCTAATTCTTTTTTCAAAAACATTCTCTTCCAGTTTGCTTTTTTCAATATTTTTAATTGAGAAATAAGAGAAGTTTGGGGTAAGTCTTTGGACTTAGTTGTACCAAGGTCCTCGTCTACTCTTATAATAATTAAAATCATCAGATTTGTAATTGGTACTTAGGAAAGCCGACAAATTGTAAGAAGCGTACCGTTTAACGACGCTGGACCGATGCTTCTGACAGCATTCCGGTAAAACAAGCATCATTACGCAACCAGTCATCGGTTTTTTTAAAAAGAAGAAAGTTTCCCTCGGTACCATTGTGTTCCTCGCAAAGGTGAAGCTAATGAGCGGGCGCTTTTATACACGGAAAGAGGAGAAAAAAAAAAGAAAAAGGGAAGGTAGGAAACAGGCGAAACGAAGGGCCGTGGACGGGGTGGTAGGGAAAAATTTTCAACGGTGTAAAGTAGAAATAGGAAAAGAGCGATTCGATCTGTTCACCCTCGGAACCATTTCATTCCAGGACCACGGCGGAGGATCCTCCGAATCGAGAGAACAAGCGTAACGGCGAGCGAACGAGGAGAATGAAAGGAAGGAGAGAATAAAAACCCCCTCGAGGTTCGACTCAGCATCCCACGATATCTACATCTATTTTTGGCCACGGTCAGCTGTAGTTGCACGGCATTAGCATAATGAAGACAGTTCGTCTCTTCTCGTCCTCTTGGCCAACGCGTGCCTACTCTCTTTCGCTTACTATGCCACATTACACGTGTACACACACGTACTCAACCTTTCTCTCCGTCTATCTTTTCGTTTATCACTTTATTCGTTCTTTTTTTCAAGCGTTTATACAGGACGCTTCAAAAGATGAAAAATTTTATTCAGGAAATGAAAAGAATAATTAGTTGAATTAATTAGTGATCAGTTTGAATCTAATTTTCGAATGACTTCACTGGTTAAATAAGAAATCCTTGTGATGCGATTGCAGAATCTCGGTAGGGGTCAAGATTGACCCGGACACCAGCGTCTGAGTAGGAACGCAGTTTGGGAATGAGGTGAACGTGTAGGGGTGAGGGGTCGAATAGCTCGTGGAAAGGAGACAGCAGTGGTGGTCAGGAAAGAGAAGAGGAACGATGACAAAGCAAGAAGGGTGCTGCTACAAAGAAGCAAAAGAGGAGAAAACCTGCTCCAAGACAACGTACTAACGATACAATAAGATAACAAGCTACAGGGAGGGCCCTGACTTTCCTGGATAACTCAACGCCTGTTCCTCGAATTTACTGTATAAATATTAGGTTGTTTCGTGATAAATATCGGTTTAATTTAATTATTTAATTATCAAGAATAGTTAATTTTCGAATATCAAATTTCAAGCCCAAGGAAATAATATATTTTCATTATTTTCTCTTAATTATTTAAGTATACCTAATTTATAGTGCCTGGTGTTGATTCCAGATTGTTTATTTTATATTGCAAACGGATATTACATTTCCCACGAACAACCTGATCTTAACAAGAAAACCTTTTACTCGTAATCCTGTCGCAACGATCAAATTGACCATTATTCCAGGCGTGATCGTATTATTGGTATCCTGTGAAAATGTGTATTCACCGTAATAACCATAACTCCGAGTGTTAACGGGCGTCATCGAAGGAATTGCGTGCTCACGTCTTCTATAATTGAATTAATCGCGTCTGTTTGCTCCTTTGTGTACAGTGTGTGACACATAAGTCCACCCCTATGCCGATTTACCGGAGACAAATTAATAAGACAACTTTGATATTTTCTTTGCTTCAACGCGTAACCAATAATTGGTATCCTCCTCCAATCGTGATCTTCCAATAACGTTACATAAAAAAAAATCTTTGAATTCTGCTAATTTTATTAAACCCATCAATTATGTTGAATATAATTAATGATAGGGGGTGTCGTTTGCCCTTGTCAGCTTCTTCATTAACAGACTTCAAAAACAGTTTCTTTCCCTAACAGAATATCTTATTGTCAAATTCCTACAATTTTTTCTTTCCAAACGTACATCAAGTATAAAAAACAGATGCTTTAAATAGATATTTCGTGTAAACTGTTTCAGGCATCGAAGTGTTAATTTGATTAGTAGTTTAGGTTGGTTTGCGAGTGATGAACGATCCAGTTATTAATCAATTTGAATTACGTTGAAGATGATCGATTAATCGACGTACACTTTACACGATAATTAAGCGGCTGGTCTTGAAGCTGGCAACAACGTTTACTCGTAAATCTACGTGTAATAATCATTTATCGTAACAAGCTGCCTGAAAAAAAATAATATGATATTCAAAATTCAATCAAAATTGGGCCTCTCTCCGTGGTCCGCCGTCCAAGGGTTGAATATATTGTATATATTCAGAA